GGCAGCAGTTAACGCAATTTGAGCTGAAATCGAGCCATGTGACTGTGTACGTCGCGATCATCACGCTTGCTGTTTGTGACAAGCCTGTCACCATACGTTCATTGTCACTGAATCTTCACTCGAGGAAAATAACGCAAAGCAGTCTCAGCTGTCATAATTCACTCATGTTTCAAGCGCAAGGTTACACTTGGCCGAGCTCATGGGCCGCCCGTAGGTGGCTCTCTCCACTACCGTACCTTTCCACAGCGGTGACGGGACTAATAACGGGCGACAAAAATATTTGTCTGTCGCTGTCCATCGCACAACTAATCACTGGTTGCCGAAACGTGAAACAGTAACAGCAATATCACAAACGGGACGTGTTGTCATATGCAAAAACACACGGGACCGCGGGAACACATGAGACACGGCCCCTCACAACGCATAGCAGCGATGCGGCATCATCATAGCGCTGGAAGCTCTGAACGCTACTGACTGGCTACGACCTCAGTTCTTATGAACTTCTGCGCCGAAAATAACAGACATTCGATATGCCAGGGGTCTTGGTTGACCGGTAACATCAGGCAGTTGTTGGAATATCTGGCACTGAGCGGTAAAGGAAAGGTGGTAAAGGTGGTGAAAGCCCTTCCCAAAAATCCTCGTTGCATTTCGCCCACTTTGTTTCCAGTGAGCTATTTTGTCGTTTTATTTGCATTCTTTACATTGCACAACTGAAACAGGAGCCAGAAACCACAAAGTATGGATTTTTGTTGTACTTAGAAGTTCGTATAATACTAAACGGCAATAAACTGCTGCATCGAATAGTCCATCTACGTCATTTATATTATAAAGCCTAATTAGACGCTTTCTAAACACATGACACTCAGGGCCATTGCCAGACTAACTGGGATTCAACAGTGACGTTGGTTTCATGACTCCGTGGATTGAACACCATGTTAGGTCAAAACAGGGTCAGGAATATGTACTGATACGGCTAACCGATGTTCGCCTGGCGCAATTTCATCTTGTCTTCAAATCGGTCCGTGAAAACTGAAATAAAACCGGCTTGAGTTTGCCCGCTCGCCGTCGTTCGGAGTGATAACGCTGCCGTCTGGCGTCGCTGTCTTCAAAGACCTCGCGACGCCGGCCTCGCTGCTCATACCAAGCGAATGCCAGCGGGTGGACGACGACTACGTGTCGGATAGCTATGGCTTCGTATGCTTCATGAGATGGACTGGTACGTGATAATGGTAGACCGGGCCGTGCATTTCATCAGGATAATTCAGAATTGACGCTCGGAGCGCATTAGCACCTACGCCACCACAAATTTATGACTTGACGGATTCTTTGTTCGTATTGCTGGATCCGCTAATTCGCTCAAAGAATCAATCTAAAAAAAATATTGCACACATGAGCATATACCGCAGTCTAATGCTTGAATTTAACGAATTCGTTGTCAATGGCTTTCGGAAGCTTCTTTACACATTGTTTGACCACGTGTAAAGAATTCAAGCCACCTCACATGGATGGCCGGGCCAATCCAAGTTTGTGCCCCATTTCGCTCAACCCCATTGAACATTACAGAAACCCATACGTTTCCTGAGAAAGGAGCCCGTGGGTAGGGGTTGGGGATGGGACGCTGGGGGGGAGGGGCGCTGGGAGGGGGAGGGGGGAGGGGCGCTGGGAGGGGGGGGAGGTATGTAGGGGGGACGGGGGGATGGGCGATCATATTACCGTTTCTGGTCAAGGGCTGAAGAACTCTTCGGTCACAGACCTGGGCGCCTACCGGCTGAAATTCCGGCGATACGGGATGAGGTCCCCTGTTGGGCCGGGAGCAGCTCGGAGAAATGCATCACGCATCGGTCTACTACCTCACCGAGAGGCCCTCTGACCGGGCTACATGGCACGGTCACGGAAAACGATACATCATCTTTTGCGCGGTGGCGCTACTGTAGTGGTTAACGCGTCTTGGCTAACCATTGCGCGTCTGAGCACCAATAGGAAGAGCGTTCGATTCCCCGCGTTGTCCGCCCTTCCTGCCGGTGTGGGAGGCAGGCGACGCCATACAGCCTCAGCAGCTGAGTGCGTCGTAAAGCTCCAGTGGCACACTCACCATTACCTTCTGCCGGCGTGGAGAGTTCAATAATTGCAACATGAACACCAATCCGACTTATGGGACACCTGCCTGAAACAGAGGAGGAGGTCTCCCGTTCGGTAATGGCTCCCGCCTTTAACGTCTCATTTGAAACCACTTATCGTCATTTCTCATGTCTTCCTTCTTTGATGGAGACCCGACCAACGCAAGAGGCGATTTGGTGTTCGTGGTCTCCTTCCCTATCCTTGTTGAATAAATGAGCCCCAAGCCATATAATATTGTTTCAGGCACGGTAGGCCTCTTAACGACAAAGGGGCACCTCGTTGTTTCAGGGGCCCGACCACCGCACCAGGTTTTCGGTGAAAGTCACAGTGCTCGGCCTTGTGGCAATCTCCTAGGTTCGGTGCTGGAAAAATCCTTGATGACGCTAACATCAAGTGATGAGTTCAAGTCAGCCAGAGATGCGCAAGTGGAGAACAAAGGTCGCTGCAATTGCCGCTGATGATAAAACTGGATCTACACGTAAACAAGTTGAAAAACGATGCAGTCGCGAATCAGACAGCTCAGCCTTGGCCACCCATTACCTCTTTCTGCTATAGTGGAAGGCGCCGCCATTGAGCAACAAAACACGGGCAAATCCCGGATTGATTGGGTAGGGATGAGCACACCGGCTCCTGCGAGGCCCCACACAGATAGCGGTCGTTCGTCTCCGTAAATAGGGCGGTTGTTGGAAAGGCACAGCGTTAGTGGCGCCAGCTGCCTGTATCTCCTTTGTTCATACAACTGCGTCGTAGGCTGTAACGCATCCTCTACCCTGCCTTGACCGGGAGGTAGGGGAAAATGGGCAACCTATTGATTGGCCGCAGTGCAGCTGGAAGACGAGCTGGGATGAGGCGAGAGCTGGGAAGCCAGACATCTCGCCACTCGTCATCATATGGACAGCACTTGCTGACATGGTCAATCACGAGCGCTCCATTTCAGCTCCGATTCGAATGGATCTGATCTGTCCTGATATGAACCGAGCCACGGCACTGACAGACCCGTCACGAGCCACGGTGCTGACAGACCCGTCACGAGCCACGGCATTGACAGGCTCGTCAGGTCGTATGGTGCTTATGCATGCACCCGTCTTACTGACAACTAAATGGAGGACAGACAACACGTGACAGAACCCTGGAAGGATTTAAAGTTCGGTTGAGTGGGCAACGATAGGATGTTGCGTGTGAAACACGAAAGAAGATTCTGCAGGCAGGGCTCGTTAGCCAGGTGGCGGCGCCAAGCTCAGCAGACCGTAAACGGGGATGACAGAACTGGATAGAACCGAAGCGACGGGACACTTAAGGCTGAACCGGAGCAGGGATGTACTAACCTCGCTTCGTTAATGCCCATTGGCTGTGAAGTCATGATAGCAGTATAGCGGCCTGCAGTGTTCTGTGATTCCCATGTCGCCCTGCCGCCAACGAAGCCGACAGCTGTGAGCCCACTCGGCGACCAGTGCTGCGGCTAGTCGTTCCGGTCCGCTGCCGCGTGACATTGGCCGCAGGCGGCGCGTGACGAAGGCGGCGCGGCCGACCTCTGATGGGCCCAATGTCTCGCCGGCACGCCACCAGTGATCAATCCAGCGCTAGAGCACGATCGATACAACCACCGCCCAGAAATCACGCGCCGACGACCACTTCTCTCCTCCGCTGCGAGCTCCGGATTCAGATTCCAAGCTCTTCCTCAGGATTCCGCCTGGCGTGCCGTGCTCATCAGCGACGGATGCAGCTGGAAATTTATTTCGCACAATGTTGAACCCACTTGCGCGTCGAGCATGCAGACACATGGACAGGGTGCGTGTCATGCGAGCGACTCCACCGCCGTGTCGTGTGTCACAGATAACCGGTAAAACCTTGATTGCTTAGAACCAACTGCTCCGGGTTACTTTTCACACCTTTGACCTTTTCAAGCTGCCCTCATACCAGTTGCCTTTTATTCTGTCAACGCTGGGGCTGGTCCATTAATAAAGTAAGCTTACGGAAACCTCCCAGCGCCCACTTGGGCAATTTCAAAGGTAGTTTTAAAACTACTAAAAAAGTTCATCGATATTTTGTGTCTGCTTTTAAATTGTGATGCGATAACTTTCCATTTTCCTGAGAGCTTTCCGGCACTCTGGAGTCTTTTCAATCCCATCGCCTTTCGATTACGTTCAAGTTGGAGTCAATCTTGATTTCTGAACGTCAATAGCACCCACTGCCCGCGAATTTAGACAGCGAACGTGAAATCGCAGTGTTTTGAGCTATCGACCGCAAGCTACGTGTACAGTTACACTGGCACGACAATAATTTACATTTACACTTGAAATATTATTGAAATATCCATGGAAAGAACCAATCACAGACGAACGGATTTCTCCATTCTCAGATCGATCATTAACTGACACGTTGGCGCAACCACCCATGACGCCCTCCCCACCACCCCCTAGTGAACATTTGAATGGAATAAGTACGAAGATAAGTAACTTCCCGACCCTCCGGGAGAACACACGTCGCAGCATGCGATGACCGGGCGTCTCTGGCCCTTGCTGTCGCTACAGCCCGCTGGGCGTGCTCAGAAGGCTGGAGCAGCTGTGCCAGCGGCGCGAGAGAAAGTAAGCGCGCGCCTCGAGCGCCCGTAGCGGTACGCTGCGCATTGCTCTGCACCAGCTCTCCCGCCAGATGATTGCGCACAGGCCGGCTGTGACGGCAGCTCTGCCTCCGGAGGCGGGTCCGCCCTATCGGTCTGAGCCGTCGCGGTGCTCTTCCATGCTCTGGCGCTGCTGCTCGCGTCACGTGCTCCCGCCGGCGCCGCCCGCGCCGCCCGGGGGCGCCCGCCCGGGCGAGCGGCGCCCCCAGCGCGGCGGCGCTCATGCAGGCTGCGCCGGCTCCACGGCGACCAGTCGGTCGCGGCGGCGGCGGCGGCGGTCAGAGGAACTCGCGCCTGCCGCCCGGCGAGGGTCAGTTGCTGGAGTCGCAGATGCTGAGCGCCTGCACGATCCGGGGGTCGGCCTTGGAGCCCTCCTTGAACTCCTCCAGCGTCAGCTTCTCGTCATTGTCCTTGTCCATCGAGTCGAAGATTTTGTCGACACGCTGTGAGCTCTTCTCGCCGTCCATCGGCTGGCCCTGAAACGGAAAGTATCGGACGTTACCCGCCGGCGCCTCAGAAGGCTGCCCCGGGTGCCTCCGAGCGCTGATGCGGCCGAACGACGCCGATAAACAGCTGGGCAATAAAAACCTTTGCTATCCTTAAGGAACCACATCCGGGGTTTTATTTATTTTATTTATTTAGGTTTTATTTATCTAGTACCCTCGCCGATGGGAGGTATCTCTAACGCTTCTCTAATGTCCTTTTCCTGGACTGACAAAACACAGATCAAGGGTGAGACGACGTCCGCTGTCCGTGGAGCTCCTGGCCTGTGTTGTCGGGACTGCGCGGCGCCTGCTGCTCCGCCTCGTTTGCCCCGTTTGAAGTCGAACAGCTCATTACGGTGTTGGCTGCCGCCAGTACCGTGGCACGCCGGCAAACGAATCCAGATCGGCAGCTCCAGGTCCACATTCAGATTGACCGGGCATCATCGCGGACGCCGTCAGGACATTGGCATCTGCCATCTGACGCCTGGCTTCAGGAAATTGGCTGGAAAGTGGCGGTGCGCGGACAGTGGCGCCCGCTCGTCGGTCGCCGGTCCAGTGGCTGATGCTTCCGGCACCGGATCGGTCAGGATGGAGCCCATCTCCGTGCGGCGTCGCCGCCGGAGAGCGGTGCCTGGCGAGGAGTGCCGCACGCCACCGGCCGTCACCGGGCAGACGGTGTCGCGCGAGGCGTGACGGCACGGGTCAGCGGTCAGCTGCCTCGAAGAGACGCGCCTGAGGAGCGTCACGGGTCAGCAGGCCTTCCTGTCCTGATGTGGAGGCTGCAGAGTGTCGGACGCAGGTAACGCGACGGTTGACGGATCCAGCCGACGGCCGAACCCCGTGTGCAGTTCAAGCCGACAGCCGAGCCCCGTGTGCAGTTCCAGCCGACGGCCGAGCCCCGTGTGCAGTTCCAGCCGACGGCCGAGCCCCGTGTGCAGTTCCAGCCGACAGCCGGGCCCCGTGTGCGGTTCCAACCGACGGCCGGACCCCGTGTGCGGTTCCAGCCGACGGCCGGGCCCCGTGTGCGGTTCCAGCCGACGGCCGGGCCCCGTGTGGAGTTCCAGCCGACGGCCGAGCCCCGTGTGCGGTTCCAGTCGACGGCCGGGCCCCGTGTGTAGTTCTAGCCGACGGCCGGGCCCCGTGTACAGTTCCAGCCGACGGCCGGGCCCCGTGTGCGGTTCCAGCCGACGGCCGGGCCCCGTTTGTAGTTCCAGCCGACGGCCGGGCCCCGTGTGCAGTTCCAGTCGACGGCCGAGCCCCGTGTGCAGTTCAAGTCGACGGCCGAGCCCCGTGTGCAGTTCCAGCCGACGGCCGAGCTCCGTGTGCAGTTCCAACCGACGGCCGGGCCCCGTGTGCGGTTCCAGCCGACGGCCGGGCCCCGTGTGCGGTTCCAGCCGACGGCCGGGCCCCGTGTGCGGTTCTAGCCGACGGCCGAACCCCGTGTGCAGTTCCAGCCGACGGCCGAGCAGCCCCGTGTGCAGTCCCAGCCGACGGCCGGGCCCCGTGTGCAGTCCCAGCCGACGGCCGGGCCCCGTGTGCAGTTCCAGCCGACGGCCGGACCTCGTGTGCAGTCCCAGTCGACGGCCGGGCCCCGCGTGCGGTTCCAGCCAACGGCCGAGCCCCGTGTGCTGTT